CTGCCTGTCATTGGCTGTGGCTCTACCTACTGTTGACCTCCATGCCTTCTTCCCTACCAGTCCCAGTGTGCACCAGATCTGGAATTAGATCTAAGTTGCTGAGTTTGGGGCTTTAGCTACAGGGGCCTGTGAAAATCACAGCCCCTTCAAGTATAACCCAGTTTCCCCCTTTCCTCTTAATGTTCAGCTTTAATTGTTGGGGGGGGGACCCACATTACTAGCACATGTGAATGCTCTAAATCATAAATGAATGTTGTTGGCTTCCATGAGTCCCAGTCAACATGACCAGTGGTGAAGGATGATGAGAGCTGAGTTGCAGCAAAACCTTGGAAGGTCACAGGTTTCCCTGTCCTTGTGCTAAAACATTAATTAAATGCTAAGTAAAATAATAACAGCACCAGGCAATGTTTTGAAAGGCTGTCACACGACCCAAGTCCATCTAATGGTCTACAAGCATTAAAGTCAGTAAATAGAAGAAAAAAAAACTTGGTCAGACAGCCTCCATAAAGTTGATCAGGTATAATCCAACAGAAAATGCATTGCAGAACAGTAGTAAACATGACGTACGTTGTCTATTTCCAGACACATTTATGAGATTTTGTTTTAAAGGTGAGATTGCTTTGCTGCCCTTTGGGTACACAATGAGCTACCCAGAGCTGCTCTATTCAACCAGTTGCGTGGGCTGAAACCAAGGAGACAGGGAATGCTCCATTACTACTGCTGATGACATAGTCAAGTGCAACAGAAAACAGCTAGGGGAAAATATGGATAATTAATAAAATCAGCAACGCCTACAAGCACTTAGGCCAAACTTTTCCAGAGTCAAGCAGCTAGACAGTACAGCTGTGGACCTCAGAAGCATCTACCCTCCATAGGCAGGGAGAATTGGCTGTGCTCTACCCACCAGGAAGCCAAAAACAAACGTCACATACTACTCTATAGGGGCAGCAAAACATATTAAGAAACCAGGGCCAGTATTAGGGATGGAGGAGAAGTTTTGTAAAGTTTGCATTTAAAATGTGAGCCTACCTAATTTGTTCTTTCTGACACAATAAGCGAATCAAAACACAGCCATCTTTAGGAATTCACAGTTCTCTGATTTTTGCAATGCAGTTGTCCAGCCAAGTAGAGTGCATAATGCATATACTAGGGTAAAAGTGTGCATAAAAGTGCAACAATTCATTTTCTTAGGCCACAAGATCCCCATCAGTACTCAGTTGATTACCGTATTTTTTGCTCTATAAGACTCACTTTTTCCCTCCTAAAAAGTAGGGGAAAGTGTGTGTGCGTCTTATGGAGAGAATGCAGGCTGCACAGCTATTCCAGAAGCCAGAACAGCAAGAGGGATTGCTGCTTTCACTGCGCAGCGATCCCTCTTGCTGTTCTGGCTTCTGGGATTCAGAATACAGTGGTGCCTCGCAAGACGAAATTAATTCGTTCTGCGAGTTTTTTCGTCTTGCGAATTTTTCATCTTGCGAAGCACGGTTTCCCATAGGAATGCATTGAAAATCCAAAAGGAAACAAACTTGCAAGACGTTTTCGTCTTGCGAAGCAAGCCCATAGGGAAATTCGTCTTGCGAAGCAGCTCAAAAAACGAAAAACTCTTTCGTCTTGCGAGTTTTTTGTCTTGCGAGGCATTCGTCTTGCGAGGTACCACTGTATTTTTTTTCTTGTTTTCCTCCTCCAAAAACTAGCTGCGTCTTATGGTCTGGTGCGTTATATAGAGCAAAAAATACGGTATATTACTGCTAACAGTAATGAAACCTAACATTTTCAACAGTTTGTGCCTGGAGGCTGCTTTGAAGTGCCCCTAGTTGTCATAAACATCTGTGCTGTAACAAGCATTTTTGTGGATGAGGGCTTTGCTCTGAGGCTCCCCACCCCTAATTGTGGATGCCTTTGCGTTTCACGCTTATGGCAACAAATGAAATTAAATGGTAATTTCATTGCTATTGCTATTGTTATTGCTGTTTCGATCAAAACAACCATCTGAAGGCAATTTGCACCGGAAATAATTCAAAAGCAGCTAAAAACAGACACATCGAAAACAAGAATAAAACCAGACAAAGTAGGCATTCATAGTAAAGGGCCCACTTATTCAGCTGACAAAGTCTTTCAGAGCAAACATGTCTTCAGTTGTTCCCGAAAAGTGCAAATAGTAGGTCCTGTCATAGCCATCTCCTTTCTACCCCACCTTCAAGATCAAAAGCTCTTTTTAAGAAATGCTTCCTGTAACATGATGAGTTGAAAGCTATTTTGATCCAAGATTACTGCCTGGTGAGTATTTTGATGGAGAAAGATGGATAAGCCCTAGCTTGTTTTAAAAAAAGGAGCCCTGGGAAATCTGCAAGCAAGCCTTACGTAAGGTTGGTTTGTCTGCCCCCTCCGAAGCATCTTTGTCTGCCACTTTTTCCACACAGGTCATTCAACAGGCAAGTGTCTTAAGCAGAAATAGCAGAAGGGCCAAAGGCACTGAAATTATTTTGAGAATAGAGGGAGCACATGAGGCTACTCTTGGGTCTGGGATGCAGCTAATGCATAATGCTGTGGCTAGACGGATGATTAGAACAGATTGACACCAACACATGACAGTGGTTTTAAAACACCTGTAGCCAGCACAAAGTTGTTGGGGGGTGCAAAATTACAATACCTGGTGCTGCCTCAATACAGCTGCATGCTTCCATCACTGGGCTCCATTGAAAACAGCTTCTCCATGCAACATGACCAACCTATGTCTCCATCCTGAAACACCTGCACAAGATGAGTCAAATCCAGTTTGTCAATTTCTATGCAGTGGCAGCCAATTAAACACCACCTCCTACACTAAAATTGCTCCCTTATCCTTCCTTAGGAACCCACCTGTGACACCTCTGTTGCTTCCACCAAGATGTTGCTCCTGAATGTCTCAATCTGAGACCACCAAGGCATCTCTAGGAGAGGAGCACCTCAAGCTGGGGCTTGCTGATGAAAACACATCTCAGAAGTATAGCTGCTCTTCATCTTGTTTCTGGAGGAGATTCTGCTCTTCGCGGTTTAGGACCAAGAGGGATTTTTCAGTTGATGGCTGATCCACTGGCTGAGAGTCAAGAGCCCTTTAGCTCTCAACTTCCAGCTCACACCTCTGGGCAGTGGCTTCTAGCTACCCAAGGGCTGGGAGGAGCAAACAAGAAGCTCAGGAGACCGGCTGAAGACTTTTGGGCTGGGGTGCTGTTTGTGGGGTCTTGTGGAGAGGGGGTTGCTGCTGCTGGGTTTTTGTGTCTTTATTTTAGATCTTGTCACGATATATGTGGAAATTGTTCAGTTTGGTTTGTATTTTTTAATTGTTTAATTATTGTTTATGACTACTTTTGTTGTGTTGCAGTTATGTGCTGTATTTTTTTTTATTAGATTTTCCACAATGATAACACAAACTTATGTGCTGTATTTTTGTTTAAGCCACCTTGAGCATGGTTTGAACTGTGGAAAGGCAGCATACAAACAAAATTATGTATGTATATATGTATGTATGTACACATGTATGTATTTCCCTGGGCGTTTTACTCTGGGATTTAGTTTCCTGGGAATGAGGTTACTGGAGAATGAATGGCATAGAGCAATATTTCTATTTTTTTATCTAAAAACATTTAAATTCTGCTTAATGTTTCATAAATCTGCAAGTGGCGTACAGGCAAAAAGCAAATACACCATTAAAACAAAGGGTTGTAAACAACTAGAGTAAACCTACTGAAACCAATGAAACTACATTAGTCATTCACATTAACTTCAATGGGTCTACTCTGAGTTGGAATAGCATTGGCTGCCACCCAAAAACACAACCTAAAACCCAGTAAACAAGCAATATAAAAATGCATAAAAGCAAATCAACAAGAAATCCAGAGATTCAAATACATACACTTTATTTTATACAGTTATGCAGGTTGAGTAGAAGTGGAAATGAACAGCATTAGGCCTGCAATGGATGTCTCAAAGTTCTCTCTAAAATAATCCTTTTAGAGAGCCCAATTTGTCTCTCTTTTCAATCAATCAAAAACAGCCACTGGCTGCTTGCTCTGTTCTCTCTAACATTAGTACCATATTTGTTCCCTTTCAATGGCTAATTGGGGGAATAAGGATGAATCATTGCTGCTCATCACATGGGCCTTCCTGGGTCATGTTGGTTTCCATTGACTTTCAAATCAGCTGAAAGTCAAGGGCTGTACAAAATATTTTGTCTGTACTTTAGTGATATATTGCTGCAGGTCACCAAACCCACGCACAGAAATATTAGATTTAAGACCCATTCTGGGAACCGCCCAGACCAAAACACTCATACATGCTTCCATTAAATACATATATACATACCAGGAACCGTTCTAGTGCCATTTCATAAACAACAGTCACAAAACAGGAGAAAGCAGAGAAGAGAACAATTAAAATGACCTTCCAAAAAAAGGTTGTGATGGCTACCAACTCAGATGGCTTTAAAAGGTTAGACAAATTCGTGGAAGATAAAGTTACCAACCACAATAACTATGTCAGAGGCACCATCTTCCGAAGAACATTGAGGGGACCTAACGTGATGTGCTGATGTTATGTACTGAAGTTCTCACGCTGGGGCAGCAAGGGGATACTGTAGATAGTTATGCAAACAAGGGATCGAAAGTGACGTTCAGTGATTGGATAGTTTTAGAAAATTATTATAGTTGCATTGTACTGGAGCTCTATATAAACAGGCTGACTGAACCCTTCAGTTCAGTTCAGTTCTGTTCTGGCCTGTGAATAAACAAGAGCTGTTTGAAGAATCGCTGTGTCGTCTGATATGTTCACCCACAACCTAACACTGGCAACGAGGGTGGGATGGATGGACAACAGAGCACAGCCAGATGCAGCCACCCTCTGAGCGGAGCTGAATCACTGAGCTGAAACACCGATCGAAATCACTGAACAGAACCAATTCAGAGCTGACTGTTCTGGCTAGAGCACTGTGTTCCATCCATCGTATCCACATCGGCATCGGAACCATGGCTTCACTTGTGCCTCTACCACCGTTTGCGCGAGCCTCTGAATCATGGGACTCCTACCTCGCTCGGTTTGACTGCTACCTCCAAACCAATGAGCTGACGGAAGTATCACAGGAGCTTAAGCGGGGCCTATTCCTCAGCCTCTGTGGGCCTGAGGTGTTCGAGACGGCCCGAGCATTGGTTGCGCCTGCAGCAGTCCAGGCAACACCATGGGACACGATTAAAGAGAAGCTCCGCAACCACTATGCGCCAAAGCCATCCAAGATTGCTGCCCGCCATGCGTTCTACCACCGGAACCAGGCAGAGGGGGAGTCAATTAACAACTACACCGCTGCCCTCCGACAGGCTGCAATGCACTGCGAGTTCCAAAACTTAGATGATGCCCTGATGGATCGAATCGTCTGCGGGGTCCGGGACATCCATCTGCAAAGGCGTCTCCTCGCCAAGCCAGATCTCATGCTGCAGAAAGCCATTGAGGAGGCTGTGGCCTCGGAAGCTGCTGAACGCTCTGCCCAGGAGATCTGCAAGGCCAGCAGCCTGCATCTTGCTAGGAAGCCAGTTCCAGTGCATCATGAAGAGGCCAGCAGTGATGAGGCATCCTCCAGTGAAGACGATGACGTGCACCAGACAAAGCGGGAGCGCAGAAAGTTCCAAAAGAAGTCCAAGGGCCAATCGGAATGTGCCGGCTGCGGAGGCAGCCATTCCCGTGCCAAGTGTCGATTCAGAGATGCCATCTGTCGGACGTGTTCCAGAAGGGGCCACATCGCTAAGGTCTGCCGATCAGCTCCGTCTGACATCCCTCCTCCACCGACTTGCAAGTCCAAGTCTTCACTCCAGTCTGCCAAGGAAAGCTGTTTCGCTCTCACCAACTGCCACTGCCCGTCTGGAACCACGATTGGCCAAACCGACTCGCCTATGCGACGCAAGTTGAACGTCACTGTGCTCATTGAAGGAGCTCCATGTGACATGGAGATCGACACCGGGTCTGCCCTGTCCATCGTGTCTTGGAGCACCATCAAAAGACTGGTACCCAGAGTGTCCAAAAGGCAACTCGACTCTCACCACATACAACTGAGAGACTACCAGGGAAACGACATTCCTATGGTAGGCGTTGGCCGGTTCCGGATCACCTTCAAGGATTTTTCGGGCCTGCTCCGACTGGTGGTGGTCGAAGGTCAGCAGCCAAGCCTCCTAGGGCTAGACTGGTTTGATGCCCTCGGCCTGGAAGTCACTGGCATCAACTGCATCTCTAACGCAGAGACTGAGGGTCTGGTCAAAGACTTTGCCGAGGTTTTTGATGGCACTTTGGGTCAATATACAGGTACGCCCATCTCCTTTAGCCTTGATCCACAAGTCGCCCCCATCAAGCTAAAGCCACGCCGGGTTCCCTTTGCTCTCAAGGCTAAGGTGGACGAACAACTGGACAAGCTGATCGCCCAAGGAGTTTTGGAGCCAGTTGACCACTCCAAGTGGGAAACCCCCATCGTCACGCCTGTCAAGCCGGACGGTTCGGTGAGAATCTGTGCCGACTACAAGTGCACGATCAATAAGGCACTTCAGCAGCATGCTTATCCGGTTCCTGTTGTCCAACACCTGCTGCATTCCCTGGGTGAGGGTGAGGTCTTCGCTAAGCTGGACCTTGCCCAAGCCTATCAACAACTGCCCGTCGATGATGCCACTGCTGAAGCCCAGACGATCGTCACCCACCGAGGGGCATTCCGCTGCCGCCGTTTGCAGTTCGGGGTGAGTGTGGCTCCTGGCATCTTCCAAAGCCTTATGGAGCGTCTCCTGCAAGGGCTTCCGGGTGTGGTACCATATTTTGATGACGTCTTGGTGTCCGCAGACTCACACCAGCAGCTGTTCAAGCGCCTCCGCACCGTGCTGACCAGGTTCCAGGAGGCCGGGCTCAAGGTAAAGAGGGAGAAGTGCCAGATCGCCGTTCCACAGGTGGAGTTCCTGGGCTATCTGATTGACGCCTCCGGCCTTCACCCGACCACATCCAAGATCCGCGCTATCCAGCAGGACCCCATCCCAAAGAACAAGATGGAGTTGCAGGCATTCCTAGGACTGCTGAACTTTTATAACATGTTCCTGCCCCACGAAGCTACGGTGGCTGAGCCTCTTCACCGACTCCTCAGCACGAAGACACCTTGGTCCTGGGGTCATCGGGAGACGGCAGCCTTCAACGCAGTCAAGGCTCTCCTTTCATCGGACAGTGTGCTGGTACAGCACAGTGAAGCCAGGCAGCTGGTCCTTGCCTGCGACGCCTCACCTTTTGGCATCAGTGCTGTCCTTAGTCACCGTTTTCCAGATGGAAGAGAAGCACCGCTCGCCTACTTTTCCAGGACGCTATCTCCAACGGAACGGAATTACAGCCAGCTCGATAAGGAGGCACTGGCACTTGTGGCTGGAGTGAAGAGGTTCCATGAATACCTCTATGGCAGGACTTTTGACCTCATCGCCGACCACAAGCCGCTCCTGGGCCTCCTCGCCGGTGATCGACCAACTCCACCGGTCCTCTCACCGCGCATGCTGTGATGGACTGTTTTCCAGGCTGCCTACCACTACCGGCTCGTCCATCGCCTGCGGAAATCGATGGGCCATGCCGACGCCCTCAGCCGTTGCCCTCTTCCAGCATTTGTGGAAGACCCGGCTCCTGCTTCATCACTCCTCCTGATTGAGGATCTTCCGGCAGCACCTGTATTGGCTACCATTGTGGCCTCTGCATCTGCCCAGGATCACACCATCAGCCTTGTGCTCAACTGGGTGTGGAGGGGGTGGCCACAAGGGCCTTTTGCATTGGAGTTCCAGCCGTTCGCAACCAGACAACATGAACTCTCAGCTCATCGTGGCTGTCTGCTGTGGGGAGACCGCGTCGTGATTCCCCAAAGACTTCGTCAGTGCGTCCTTGAGGCTCTGCACGTTGGCGACCCAGGAATCGTCAAAATGAAGGCGTTGGCTCGTTGTTACATCTGGTGGCCTAACATGGACGATGCCATCACTGCCTGGGTTTCCGCCTGTCAAGCGTGCCAAGACCTTTAAGAACACGGCCGGACCTTTAGGCAGTGGTGGACGCCTATTCCAAATGGCTGGAGGTGGCCCTGATGCCCTCCACCACTATGGAGGCTGTCATCCGGGTGCTGCGAGGCCTCTTTGCGATGCATGGGTGTCTTGATGTCCTTGACGGACCGCAGTTCACGTCAGGCACTTTTGAGCAGTACCTTTTGGGACTGGGCATCCGCCATGCCCTAACGGCACCATTTCATCCATCCAGCAACGGGCAAGTGGAGAGAATGGTGCGCTCAGCAAAAGAGGCACTGGGGCACCTGGACCAGGGAGACTGGCACGAGTGGGTCACCGAATACTTGTTCGTGCAACACATCACCCCTCATGCGGCCACAGGGCGGAGTCTTGCCGAACTGCTTATGGGTCGCCGCCTCAGGTGCCCGCTCGATCGGCTGCACCCGGACTTTGCCGTTGCTGAACCCCCAGGCTGTGCCAACACGCCACGGTCATTTGTTCCAGGAAACCAGGTCTTTGCCCGGAACTTTGTGGGGGACATTCCTTGGGTGTCAGCCACAGTAGTGGGAGTCACTGGACCTCGCTTGTCCCAGGTGGCACTCGAAGACGGACGCTTGTGGCGCCAGCACATAGACCAGCTTAGGCGCAGGTTTGGGGACTTGGACACTACCGTCGTGCCCCCAACTGCGCTCGTGGCTCCGGAACAGACACTTACAGATGGTGAGGCTCCAACCTACACCTCTCTTGCAAACTGTGGGCATGGATCCGAACCAAGCCACTTCAGAGGGTCTGCCGGACTTCCCACAGACTCAGACCACTGCCGTGCCTGACATTCCGCCAACTCCACTTGCGGAGGTTCCACCCACAGCAGCGGATCCAGGGGACTTGGTTTCAATGCCACCTAGGGTCGCGCCACAGCCTCAGCAAGAATTGGGTGGCCCCGCGGACTTGGGTACCGGTCCCCGGCGGTCTGGCAGAGTTTCCAAGCGCCCAACTTATTTAAAGGACTATGTTGTTGGACATGTAACACTGTTGGTCTAATGGAAGTATGTGAAATGTAACTGATATGCTTTTGTGCCTAATTGAACCATTACATGTAGTGCTGTATATAAGGAAACCATTACGATTGTAACTAATGCCCTATCTCGGTGGGGAGGGGTGTTATGTACTGAAGTTCTCACCCTGGGCCAGCAGGGGGATACTGTAGATAGTTATGCAAATAAGGGATCGAAAGTGACGTTCAGTGATTGGATAGTTTTAGAAAATTATTACAGTTACATTGTACTGGAGCTCTATATAAGCAGGCTGACTGAACCCTTCAGTTCAGTTCTGTTCTGGCCTGTGAATAAACAAGAGCTGTTTGAAGAATCGCTGTGTCGTCTGATATGTTCACCCACAACTTAACAGCTGACATCACACAACGTCCTGACATCACTCTGTGTCCAGCTCCTCGCTCAGCCTCAACAATGAGTGGCCCCCTCAAAAAAAAAGAAAAAAAAGATTGGGGGTCCAAAGAGCCACTGCCTCCAGGAGCCAGTGCCTTTGGTCAGAGGTGTGGGTGGTATAACCAGCCTCATATAACCAACATGCTTAAGTCTAATTAATGCATGAAGGGATACACTGGTGGAGGAAGGAGGGTGCGGGGGGTGCGGTGCAAACCGGGTGTCAGCTGTGAGGGTGGGTGACATTGCTGCACCACCTCCACCCCCCGCTCACTGCATGGGCAGCGCCACCGGCTGCTCACTACACAGGCAGTGGGCCATTAGGGACTATGCTGCCGTGGGCAGCTAGCAGCGTGTCCCCCCCAATGCTCACCACATGGGCAGCAGGCAGCTAGGGATGCTCGCCGTGCAGGTGGCTAGCCCCACCTCCCACCACTCCGGGTGCTGGGGCAGGTAGCTCCGCACCTGAAGGAATGAACACCAGCCTTAACTATGTCCGCTTATTGTTGTACCTAGTGTACTCAGCTACGTGGCTCTCACAAGCCTCTATTGAGTTCCATACCAATAATTTAAGAACTTTTATCACTTTGCAACTAGCTGAGTTTTACTGCCTGTGCAACTTTTCTGAAACATATGAACCTGACTTTTGAAGAGTATGTAAGTAAACCAATTTTTAAACTTACCAAATGTGGTCATTTTCCTATGCTGTGGGAAGAGGGAAACTTTGGAATGAAACTTTTTAAAGGGATATTTTGGAGGGGCACATATTTTAAAGATCTAACAGCTTATATTTCCACACTTCACTTTGCTGAATATTTTGTGATTTAAATCTCTGCTGAAGTTCTCTCACCAAAGATTATTTGCCCCAAACTTGGAATTCTCCTTCCTCTCTCTCTCTCCCTTTCACGCCAATAAAAGAAACTATGCCATGGGTAGGCAAACTAAGACCCGGGGGCCGGATCCAGCCCAATCACATTCTAAATCCGGCCCACAGACGGTCCAGGAATCAGTGTGTTTTTACATGAGTAGAATGTGTGCTTTTATTTAAAATGCATCTCTGGATTATTTGTGGGGCATAGGAATTTGATCATATATTTTTTTTCAACATATAGTCTGGCCCCCCACAAGGTCTGAGGGACAGTGGACCGACCCCCTGCTGAAAAAGCCCCCTGCTGACCCCTGAAGTATGCCTTTGAATACCAGTTTCTGGGAACTGCAGATGAGAAGAGTGCTGTTGCAATCAGGTCCTCCTTGCACACTTATCATAGGCATCTGGTTGGCCACTACTAGAGCTGGATACTGGTCCAGATGGGCCTTGGGCCTGATCCAGCAGGGCTCTTCTTGTGTTCTTAAAATGGACAGGGAAAAGGCACACTGGGGCTTTTTTAGAAACAAAAAGCAAAAGAATACATCACCTCTTCATTCTAAAGAAATTAATCTCCTTCCTATACCTTTTCTTTCTACTCCCATTTGGTTTGTGTAGCCAGAGTCGTAGGGTGGAACTACCTGTTATCTCAGCAAAGGCTTTTCCCCAAACCAGTGGTTGGCTAAGATAGCATGAAAGCAGGTGTAGGGGTTGGGCACTGGAAAGGGTAATCCTGAAAGTGGTGGAATGATAGAGGGATACTTAACCATTTCAAATTTCTCTTTCACTCTCTCTCACACACAGGGATAACATCCTTAACACCCTTCGATGTGCCTTATCATCAGAAGTATAACAGAGACACACTTCTCTGTGGTGCCGAGATTGTGGAAGGCCCTCTCTAGGAATATCTGCTTGGCCACTTCTGAGCTTCCACTTAAGCAGCAGGTTAGTGAGGCTGTGCTCCAACAGGCTTTAATCTTTGGTGGTTGTGGTCTGGTCTACTGGGACAAAGAGGGCACTGCCCCACCAACCTCAGCTGGCCCTCAGCCAGCCCCCTCCTACCTGCCTCCTTTTCTTACAAGTAGTCCAGGAAGTTGCACCAATTGTCAGCTCCTTGCTCCCTGTTGGAATTTGGCTCCCTGTTGAAAGCCAAGACCCAAATTGGGGGCAAGTACTCTTTGGTGAGAGAACCCCAGCAGAGATTTAGCATGGCAAAACATGTAGGAAAGAAAAGTGTGGAAATGTAAGCTAGAAAACCTTGAAAATGTGCCTTTCCAGTGAATTCCAAAGTACAGTGGTACCTTGGTTTTTGAGCATCTTGGAAGTAAAGCGTTTTGGTTTTTGAACGCTGAAAACCCGGAAGTAAATGCTTCCATTTTCGACTGCACCTTGGAAGTTTAATGGCTTCCGCTGAGGTACCACTGTATTTTTCTCAATTTTCTCTGTAAATTTGCAGACCACCCTTTGCACCTTGGTTTTCGAATGTTTCAGAAGTCAGATGGTGTTCTAGATAGATTACAGTCAAAAACCGAGGTACCACTGTATCCCACTTCCCTAGCACACAGACCGCACAAGTGGTAAATTATAAAATAGGTTACTTAGAAAACACTTCAAAGGTCAGATTCATGTGTTTTTTTATACCAAGTTGCACAGGCACTAAAACATTTCTAAAATGCTAAACGTTCCTAAATTATTGGTTTAGGTTTTCAGACTCCATTTCTTGTCTAGCACATTCTTTTGTGCTAGCTAGAGGCTGATTAAAGCCATGTTTCTAGAGGGAGGAGCTCAGAGCTGCTCACACAACACATTCAAATGTAGACTGAGTACAGCAAAAGGTTTGCTTGCCCATTTCCTCCCAAGCTGAGGGGAAGTGACAGGAGAGCTTACTCTATGGCATTATACCCGTCGTGCTTTAGACCCACGGTTCCCAATGTGGGGCACATGCACCACAGGGGGGCAATTTGATTTTTAATGGGGGGCAATTTGAGAATGAGTTATTAACAGTTAATGGCCTTTTAGGCTTCCTCCATGTGAACAGTTCACTTTTTGAATAATAAGAATTATAGTTCATGAGGGGAGGGGGCATCAGGATTTTAGAGATGCTTAGGTGGGGCATGGCCAAAAAAAGGTTAGAAACCACTGCTTTAGACTCAAGCGTGCTGGTTACCTTACACTCCCTGGTCTCAGTGCTACTTTTGTAGAACTTCGTACGGAGAATGGGTGGCTCTGCCTGTCATTGACTCTGGCTTCACCTACTTTTGGCATCCCTGCTTTCTGCCATATCAGGCACAATGGGCACCAGCCACCACTGTTATTTGCCTTCCTTTTCAATGTTTTATTGCGATTTTTAAGAAGTGGTTTTAAGGTTGCATTGAATTTAATTTTTTACTTGTTTTACTGACCACTTTGGATATGGTATGCAGAAAAATAGAATGTAAACTCTCAGCTCTTCTTGCTAAGAGGGAACAGATAGTTATAAAATCTGCCACTGTGAAGCTTACAAAAATAAAGTAATAATCATAATCATAATCCTTCTTTTCCACAATCCTATATTTGGGTTCACAACATGTTACCAGGGAAATTATCCTGTGAGGGGAGTCCTTGTGCTGGATTTGTGATAGCACAATCAAGTCCTGTAGAGGAGGCAACCCTTGGCTGCGTAGGAGGAAATCCTTATTTCAATAGCGCTATCTGCGATATTTGGCAAGAGGGAAGGAAACTAAGAGGTAGAAAACAATACTATATTTGAAGCAGAAGTACACAAGGTACCCTTTAGAAGTGAATATGCCAATTTATTTATCGTGATGTGCTGTGTGAAAGACTCCTGCAATTCACACAATTATTTTGGTGCATGCTGGAATCATTCATAAAGACATTCAGCAATTACTTTGGCCAAGCAGTGATGACTCGCTAATTAAACCACACGGAAAACCCTTCATTTGTAAAAAGCACAAAGCCATTGCCTCTGATCACAATACCTGAGTCAAAAACAAAAACTACAAAGAAATTAAGCCTTTCATATGTGGGTTATTATTGAGACTGAACAAGGTGGATTAAGGGCCTCTTTATGTGACCTAGTACTGGGCATCCTATAGTCACAAAAAACGTTAACAGCTGCCATGCTAGATCAGGCTGATGGTCCAACAGGTTCAGCACTTTTCTCTCTCTTAGTAATCCCAGTATAAGCTTTCAGTAGTGAAAGCAAGAGTCTTTGTCTACTACTGACTCCCACCCAGCAACTGCTATATAGAGCCCTACTGATTCTGAACATGGAGATTCTGTGAGGCCAGCTCCCAAACTGCAGCTAGGTGGGTCATATGCAGGATTAAGCTTGAAAAGTGATATTCAATCATGTGCCAGTCCTCTACATTGTGTACAAGGTGGCAAATGCACCCAGTTTGGTGGCCAAAGGGGACAGGGAAATGAGGATATATATCCAGCTGCAAGTATCATTCTCCCCTGACCCAGAAACCACTTGCTGCTCTCGTAATGCTGTCTGCAAAATTGGGAGTGTTGTGATGACAAGATGACTAAACAGCTTTAGACATTGCAGACGCCAAGAGGATACGGATTTAATTTGCACATTTTATGTCCACGGTTCCACCTAGCATACAAAAAGGGAAACTGCTGTGAATTTCTGCTCTCATTGTCTTCTGGGTGACATTCTAGACTTTCCCACTGCTTCCTCCAAAGAAC